TTGTACTACGAGAAGTTTTCCACATCTTTTTCCAAACTCTTGAAGTCCCAGTCAAAATGCAAATTTCGGGACGAAATCCCTCTAACGGGGGGATGATGTGACAACCGTCAAATTTCGCTCAAGTCAAAGTCAAACAAAGTCAACAAGTCAAACCGGTCAACTCCATTAACCCTTGTATGTTAGGGTTTACATTATACAATTCGCTATTTCAATGAGAAAACATCATTTGAAAAATTCATGTGTTTGATTTTCCTTAGCCTTAACAGTGGTAAACAACAAACCAAAGCGATAAAACACTATTGCACAATCATCGGGATTGTGTAAGACACTAAATCATGGCTTAACGGGGTTTATGGACCTTTCGTTGCGAAGCCGGACACTCAAAAAGATCACAAACGAAACCTCTCACAATCTCTTTCACTCAACCTCTCTCTATTAAAATCTCTCCCAAATCTCTCCCGAATCTCTCCCAAATCTCTCTCAAAAGTTCCTTTAATTTTTGTAATCATTCGGGCCATCCCGACCCTTAACTGGGTCAAAAACCACTTGAAACGGGGTAAAACGGGTAAAAGTAAAATAGGCTTAAGGACCCAAAACTGAAGCTTCAGGACCGAAGTCCCGTCATAAAGGAAGACGACACACATTTATCTGTCGTAACCTTACGACTCGCGTGTTGATGACACGCAATGAGTATCAAGGAAGCCCCTGTCATAAAAGAAGACGACATGCATGTTTGCGTGTCATAATTTTTCCGGTTTTTCGACTACGACTTCGTTTTAACTCCGTTTTTCATTATTTTAACGTGGGATTTTCACCCAAAAACTTTATTTTATAAACTAAGGCCCAAAATATATAAATCTTCAGGGTTTTTAGAAAAATGTATTAAAAGAATTGGTGGTTGGACTAATTATTGAGGGAATATTTGCTTTTCCTTATTTTATGACAAAAGCAAGCCACCACCACCTCACTCTATGATCATCCACTCTTTCCCACTACTCCTTGTCACCTTAGTGGACCTTTACACCCAATCTCCAGCTCTTCCCATGTTCTAAGAGCTGGAGGATTGATCCTCTCTCCTCATTCTCCATAAAGTTCTTTCATTCTACACTTAGCAACCAAAGGACACTCTCCAAAATCTCTCATCTTTTCTCTCAATTTCAAGAACTTCAAGGCTTTCTCCAGGGATTTCTTCCTTCAATTAGTAAGTATCTTCATCATTCACTAATTATTATTAAATCCATTCTACTCAAATCATTGATATCTTACACAAATTCCATCTTATTCGGTGTTAGATTCTCGAATCATCAAGACATCTTCTTAATGTTCTTGGGTTGAACACTTCCTCTATCTCACTTTCATCTACTGAAATCACATAAGGTGAGTTCATACCCCTACATTTACATGTTTTCTTAAGTTTTAAGGGGGGGAATACAAGTAAAATCATCAAGAACACAATTAAACTTTTTCTAACAGATTACATCAGAAAAGATGGACGTTAATCACGGACTGTTTTGGTCAACTTAAATATTTTAGTTTTCAAAACTGTTCCAGGTGCAAGTAGTTCAAACTCTTAGCTTTAAAATGGCTACTTGCACATCTCCATATGATTTTTCTACAATTTATGGTGATTTTTACAAAACTGCCTGTCATTTCAGAGGCAAAACCGGACCAGTCTGTGATTATGAACATTTTCACCTCTGTTAGAGATCACTAAAAATCATGGTAAAATTTACGAACAAATTAGACTCATATTCCAAACTCTCAAAATTTGCGGATTTGGATTTAGAGCTTTGATGATTTTTTATAATTTTCTAAGAACAGTAACAGAGAAACTGTTTTTCAACGAAAAGTTGCTGTTAATTTCATTTCACCTTGTAACATGTTGAGCAAGGTGTATATCTTTATGTGATTATATGTTATTGCAATATATGACATTTATCTTAATATTTAGACACACATCAGTTTACAAATGGATTTGGTCATATAAAATATAAAGAATAACAAGTGATTATAATCAAAGTACAATCGATACATTCAAACATTTAATAAACTATTTTGAATATAGTTTGCATACATTACCACGTACTACCCTTGGTTGATAAACTATAATAGGAGTTTATGATACATTACATAACAATACATTTAAAAAGGGTACATTATACAAAGGATATTTTCATTAAGCAAGGTACGGCCATACGGTACCAAGTTTTCATAACACGTAATTCCGTTAATGACTTTGTGAGACATTTACTTCAAATTACCATTAAGTCCTGTATTGTAACCAGAGTCTCCTTGAGGGGAGAGCGTGATACTTGTGTATAGATCTATATGGGTTTGACAAACCCACACCTAAGCTGCATGCAACAGCTAGACCGGCAGGTCTGGGGGTGACAAATGTCATAACATTTCCGACGCCTGAAGAACGTCGTTTCAGGCCAACTAGGTCATAGCATGGTTATAATAACTCACATAAAGTATTAATAAACGTTGGAATTTACGGAAACTTCATTAAAATTTAATGAGTTTATGTCGATTTAAACTTGCATTGTTTTACTATAAATATGACAAATTACTTGTACATTTCGGTCTTTGGGTTTTAAGACTACATTTACACATTAAGGAAAATATTGGATTTTCCAACACAAATACTACTTTCACAAACGAAAGGCTTTTAATAATACCAAACAAAAGCTTATGAACTCACCAACCTTTGTGTTGACACTTTTTCAAACAACTTGTATTCTCAGGAAATCATTAAACAGGTAATCAAGTGCTTTTGAGGATGGGACGCTAAGGCGTCTACTATTTCATATTTTGTCAACATATTGTAATTGATTCGTAAACATGTAATTCATACAATGATGTAACTTTTTCAATTATATATATGTTGGTTGTGTTTGAATTACTATTACAATTGTTGTTATGATACTACACATGAAGTCCTCCACCCACGGACGTTTCCGCCATCCTTGGTTTGGGGGTGTGACATGAATCGGTTGAGTTCCCAATCTTCATCATCATTACCCTTGGGTTGGGATTTCCAGGTAATATGACCCACAACTTTGGCACCTTTGCAAAATGTCAGTAAATATGCACCGCCAAAGCTTGTATTTAGATCCGTCCATAGTCAGTTTAAAATTGAACTAATTATACACATTAGTAACCGCATAGACAAGAATTTGAACAGTCAGTATAGTGGTGGAGGATGATGACGGGTTTGACATAATTCCAGAAAATATAAAACGTATGTGTAATAAAAAAGAACGAAATAACAATAGAAAGCTTAATGTAGGTAGAAGGATTATAGTTGTACAGAGTACCAATCCCGATAATTGAGTGATAAGGAAGACACTCTGCAACAATGACTATTGTGGAGGCGAAAGCAGGGGGTTAACAGCTTCTTACGATCAGCACCCAGAGAGAAGAGATCCCGACAACAGTGAATAGACTAAGACAAGTAGCAATCGAGTAAAAGGCACATCAGTGATCCGAAAAATAGGTTATGAAGCGAAGCTACAAGACTCGAGCGAAGCCAAGGAACCGCGATGGGTGGCGACGATGACGGAGGTCCAATATGGAGGTAGTGTGATCGTGAACCATCGACAACAGAGAATAAATCGAAAAAATTGTACGATCGAGAAAAAAACGTAAACCTAACTTGATACCATTTTGAAATATGAAAATACATGTTTGGGTTTAAGATGTATACATTTTTTGGTTTCTGTGTATTCCATTGCTTTAAATAGTACATGATGTGCATACAATATTTATAATAAGGACCCTACCCAATACAAGAGTGTAAAAGTAAATCATAAACCAACAATTATAATTAAGATTTAAGATGTATATAAAATTGTTTTTTATCTTTTTCTCTTGATCATGTTGTCACACCATCGTATGATTTCACACATTAAATATTTTTTAGCTTGAAAGACTTAATCATTCGAGATATTTATCCGTAAAATGTTTTGTTTAAATGATTTTGTTTTTACAAAATAATATTAAACTTTTATTTTAAGAAAAAAAAAACTTTCATATATTATACGAATGGTGCTTCATTTATTTGGCATATAAATTCCTCGAGACACTTTATTCTTCTATGCATTATGTTGAGACAATTTATTTGGCATATGAGAATGAGGTGCACACTTATTTATTTCATACCTATACCGTTCATTGTGGACCAATTTTGTAGTGAGAGCACATAAGGCTATATCTAGCACTACAACGAGTTGGTTTATTATTATTATAGAACGGTCAAAACTCGTATACAATTCTACTGTTAAATTAGTATTTTTCATCTTCGAATTTGAACTCTTAATATTTGGCCGAAAAACATCTATCTCCTAAAATCGCTTTCAACTAAAATAACATGAGATTTTGGATGTAGCATATGTTACCACGATTCCATTTTGATGCCCATTTATTTCTTCACATTTTCTTTTACTAACATCAACCAATTAGTGTGACACCGCCTTAACGAAAGGTTATTGTTGATGGTCATAACTCATAACACTGCGACTTTTTTTAGAAAACAGATTTAAATAGTGTCATGTGTTTAATATTATTCTTTCAACTAAAGAATCTTTAAATAGTATCAGGCGCTGGTATCACGCGCATGCATTTTTTTTTATTTTCTTTATTAAAAAAGTATTAAACATAATATAAAATTAATACTATATAAATATACTAAATTATGCCTCAAATTCGGGGTACACAAAATCTGCATATACAAAATTAACACTCATTTTTATACTACACTTTGAAACGAATTTACCATACTGCCCATCCCTTCCTATAAATTAACACTTACACCAAAAACATTAACAAAATATACAATATTTAATTAATAACTTTCTCGAAAGTCAACGAGAAAATCATCAATGTTAAAGTCGCCGAACTCCTCCCCGCAGTAATTCTCCGACACCACAAAATCCGGCAAATCAAACGGCATATCGATACCAAATTCAAGAGACTCCATGTCCAAGCAGTCAAGCCTGTCAAACGGCGTTTGCTCGGCGTTTACCCCGGAGCACGGACGTCGGTGACATAGCGGTGTTGTTCAACACTCCTTCGCTGCCGCTACTACTGGTGGTGGTCGTCGTCGTCGTTAAGCTTTGTTTATCGACGGAGACGGTTTTTGTAACGGTGACACGAGGAAAGTTCGTAACGGCGGCGGGACCTTTCAATTTAACGGCAGCATCATCGTACACCGTCGCAGCTTCTTCAGGTGAATCAAACGTCCCTAGCCAAACTCGTTTCCTCCTATTCGGATCACGGATCTCCGCCGCCCATCGGCCCCACGGCCTCCGACGAACACCTCTGAACTTCTTCTCTGTAGATCCGCTACTCCTTTTATTGAATTTCAGAGAAGGCGTGCTAAATTCGATTACAGAAACGTGCTTCTTCACTCTCTTAACGACTCGTTCTTCGTCTTCACTGGAGGAATCGGTAGCATAGGGATCAGTTAGCGTGATTCTAACGATTCTCTGCTTAATCGACGACGCCGGAGGGTCTCTGTGAAGTAACTTACTCGTTGTTACAACGTGCTCCGAGAATTTCACAGCCGATCGTACGGACAGCGTACGATCGACCTCCATATCAGATCTCCGGTCGAAATTGATCAAATCAGTACTTGATAGAGCTCTGATCTTGTGCCTACAAAGTCGATCCACAATATTGGGAAGAAGAATCAAGGGTGTTAACGCCGAGGTAAACTGGTTTTTTGGCGGGAAAGTTTCCCTCCAATTCTTTCTAGAGGGGTGGAAGAACGAAGTGATCCAGGGTGCAAGATTGTCTGTGTATATAAAGGAGAGAAGCAGGTCTGAATAAAAGACTCCACTCCACTACCATACAAGCACACACCACACATTTTCCACACTGTGAATAGTTTCATTTGGGTCCCTACACTATCACTTTTTCTTCTTTCGGTCCTACATTAACTTTATTCAAAGTAAACCTTGATGTTTTTTGCATTAAATCACAATCAAATCCTAATATAATGTATATTATGTCATTTCGATATTAGCTAGAATGTCATTGAACACGTGATTTAATTGATATATAGTGGTGTAAATGAACATAACAAACAACAAAAACAAATAAGAGTTTCTTCATGTTTATCCTTTTATGTTTAAGTAACAAATTAATGAATACGAACATATAAACAAACATATTTTTTTGGAGTAAATTACACGATTCGTCACTTGCGTAAGTACCAAAAAGTGTGTTTTATCTCTATTTTTAAAAATTAACTTGGACAGTCCCTTAATTGTTTAAATTTTGCACGCTTCATCCCTAATGTCGTTAGCTAAACATAAAAAGACGATTTTGCCATTATCTATTTCTTTTTTATTTGTTATATATATATATATATATATATATATATATATATATATATATATATATATATATAATTAATTACTTTTTTGTTTACGTATAGTAATGGACCTCACCCTCTTTATCTATCTTCGTCAAACAAATCAACTAGAAGCCATAACATCTCCGACCACCACCGATAAGCCATCTCCGACCTACACTTTTCGGCCAGCCACTGACCACCATCTCTGACTACCTACCACCGCTCGCTTTTACTGATACTCTCACTCTCACCCCCTCACAACCGGAAATCTGAAAATCTATAAAACCCCAAAATCCAAAAAAAAATATAACCATGGTTGTAGGGTTAAAAGACTAGAGTGTTGAACCACAGCACCACCAAGACAGAGGGATAGAGATGAGGTGGTGGTCGTCGGATCTGCTCAAGAGAGTGAAGTGCTTCATCCCCGGCAGATATGCTCATAAATCGAATCACCCATTGAGACAAAGATGCTCAAGAGGGTGAGGTGCTTCGTTGCCGGCGAGGTTGGGGGTTGGATTTCCAGTGATGGTTCCAGTCTTCTAGATTTTAGTTCTTTAACAAATTTGTAGAGAATGGGGGGATGAGGCGTTGAGGATGGTGATGCGCAGGTGGAATGAAGCAATGATCTTCTAAACCTTGACCAACATCGTCGTCGGTGCTCCACCACCACTACATCATCGGTGCTCTGCACCCACTGAAGACCATCTGTCGTCGTTTCCCTATTTCTCACCCAATCCTGATGCCACCTGCATCCCTTATGCCAAAGCTGTACCTCCTTCGTTCTCTAGCAAGACCAACCAGCGCCGTAGCCACCATACAACTCCCATCGGAGCTCCACCTACTTATGTACACCGATGAAATCAACAATTATTGAACTTCTTTCCGTTGGGTTCATACAAATGAAAGATGCGAGAAAGGGGGAGAGCTAGAGAGATGTCCTCACATTCCAAAAAAGTGGCTGCAACTAATTTAAGAGCCATTTCATTTTTCTAAAATTATAATTAATAAAAAATATAGATAAATAATAAAATAATTTTAAAATAAATGAAAAATAAATAAAAATGGTAATATAGTCATTTTATATACGAAGCGGACAACTTTTAACAATATAATGGACAATTCAAGCTATTTTTTAAAAATAGGGACTAAACGCGCAATTTGACACTAGAATGAGGGACGAGTCGTGTAATTTACTCTATTTTTTGTTTGTGTTCGTTCGATTTAAATTTTTACTATGTTCTTATTCCTTTGTTTACATTTGTTAATATGCTAAACAAACACAACTTAACAAACACAAAATGAATGAGCATTAATGAACATGAACATCAAATGAAGAACTGCTTGTAAACAAACCTAAATGAACAAAAAAGAATCATATATCACCATTCCTCAAACCTCGTTGAAGATCAAAAAATATAATATCACCATCTTCCTATAAGACTGAGCGTGTGGCTATGGTGCCAACCACGCCGAGACTGATATGATGACAATGAACATTGCCCCTATTCTCTCACTACAAAACCAAAGCACCACGATGACATTTCCACCGCACCAACCATCTCTTTTTCTTCTTCACACATACCCCTACCCGCACACACACGAGGGTAAATTAGTCATTTTACATGGTTTGAGAGCATTTTCGTAATAAAATAAAACCACAAGGCTGACATAGGTAGGAAAAAAACTATAATTAGAGTGAAATAATCATACAAATACAAAGACCATTTACGTAGTTTACTCTTTATTTACCTGTATATAAGGGAATCAAAATAAACAAACGAACAACTATAAGAATTTAAGCAAACATTAATAAATGAAGATAGACAAATGTTCATGAACATAAATTGTGATCTTTCGTTTAACCAAACAAACAAAAATATTGTTCGTGTTCTCTCATTTATTAAATATACAGACATAGATGGATTCCCATTAAACAAGTTGTTGAACATTCAATTTATTTCTCTCTCTCTCTCTCTCTCTCTCTCTATATATATAATATATATATATATATATATATATAGATATATATTTATATATATATATATATATATCTATATATATATATATATATATATATATATGGAGATTAAGAATGGTTGTATATCCTTCCATCTTGTAGGGGCAACATATTTTCTTTGTATGTCTATTTGATGTGAGTTTATCAAGTTAACAAAGGCTTTCTTCCATGTGTCCATTAGATGATTTAGTACAAAACAACAAAAAAACCTTATTGATATTATACAAGGAATTTTGTAAGAATTTGGTAGTTGTAACAGAGTATGTGTTCGGGTGCAAAAACTTGATCAAAATGGTCGAAGAGAAATACCTCTCCTAGTGAGAGAATGCACTCTTGATCAAGAGAATCATCCCTTGGTTAAATGCTCCCCTTGATCAAGACAATTCTTCATTGGAAAAATAATTCTAAGTTTGTAAATTTATCGAACACTTGGAGAATTAGTTGTAGCATGAACAAATGTGCTCCAACTGGTGCCAAATGCGCTCATCCTCGAAGAGGATGCGTTGTTGTGGAGAATGGGCTCCATGGATGCATTGGTCCTTCTACATGTGCTTCAGCTGCTCAAGGATGCGCTCCTAATGACGGTGTATGTGTTGCTTGCCTCCAGAATATGCTCCATGCATGATAAATACCCCCGTACATGAACAATGTGCTACCTAGGTGCATGACATGTAGCTATGCACATCCTTCAAGGTTAAAGATTCAAGAAGTAGCTGTATGGTGTCCTATAATTGGTTGGTTCCATTTATGACCTAATTATGGATGGTCATGGCCCATAAGAAGTAAGGTATGTACATGTTTGTCTATAAATAAGGCCTTCCATTTACATCAACATTTGCAGATGTAAGATACTTGCATGTATGAGTGCATAGATTTTAAGAAAGCAATCATTTTAAGGTTGAGAGAACATCCTTTGAAACAGTTTGTCTGTAATGTCCCGATTTTTAGAATAAAATTTTCATTTTTAAAGAGAATAAACACCCATTTTCATAAAACAAAATATAATCAATGTAAACCCATGTATTCATAAACTGTAATCTAAAATAAGAGTTATAAAGAAAAGCATCGTGAGATCTCAAATCATAAAACTGTTGATGTGTGTGTACATTCCCGCCTTTTCCTTCCCATAGTTTAATGAAGTACCTGAAAAGATTTAGGTGTTGTTTGTTTTTTCGAAGAGAAAATTTATTAAGTCTGCGGACCACCTATGCAATCCTCTGTAGCAGAAGAGGTGGAACAAACGGCTGTGAACTATAATAAGAAGCGTGTTTGTTTTTTAACATCTGCAGACTGCTGCAGTAAGCTGAAATTTAAATAAACTAACTTTATAAACTGAAAATAGTTCTCAACACCGAAATTTTAATAATTTTAGTCTTAAAACATTGAAAGAATACTAAAAAGAACATGTAAAAAAACAAATATATAAAACTTAGAAAAATATAAAAGAAGCTAAAAGTTTTATTCTAGAAAAAAACTAATTGTAAAAAAAACATAAAAAAAGAAAATAATAAAAAAATTAAGAAAGTATTGCAAACGATGTCTACAAGATTCGTAAAAAAAATACACAGGTTAAAAAAGATACAACTGAAACTGAAAATATTATTCACAGAAAAGGTAAAAAAATTAAAAAAATCAAAGTTTTTTTTTTAAATCAAGTTAAAAATTTTTGTGGAAACTATAAAAAGAAATTGTATCAAATCCGTAAATAAAAGTTTAAAAAAATCGAAGTTTTTTTTTTAAAAAAAAAAGTTAAAAAAAAACAAGTTATACCAAAATTCTAAAAAAACACTTGGAAAAAAATGAAGGCTGAGGAGGTTTGAAGGGGCAAGTCAAGTGCTGCGCTACGCAGCACACGCGCAAAGGTTTTGTAGTCTGAAGCCTTCCGAAAAACAAACTGCTGTGAGAGGGAAAGTGTTGCGCTTGTGCTGCGCAAGCAGCAAAAAGTGGTTTGAAGAGGTTTTTTTTTAAAAAACAAACAACACCTTGTAGAGACCCATTTTTATAACGAACGGTGAGTGCGGAAGAAAGATATCTCGAGATTAATCGTGTTTTTGGAAGTATGAACACGAAGAACATATTATGAGTTCATAAAAAGACTAAGAACAAGAGAGAATAAAATATATTAATGAAGAACATGGTGGAGAGACACTCTCCCTCGGTGGGAGAACCCACCAACTTTCTCTCTCTAGAGATTACATTGTAAGAAGTGTAACTCTAACTAA